AATGCTTTATATACTACAACTGCTCAATCAAATCCTTAACGACAATCATAAACATTTCTTAAGCTTCCCACCAATTTGGTATCATATCCTGATCACTTATGACCCCTATTTTTCAAGAATATGAAAGACTCATTTCTGCTATTCTGCCACTATTAATTTAACCACAATCACAGTTTGATAGTGTTATAAAAGTCTATAGTTATACTTATTTTCCATGAGGTCTACAAATTATGAAAAATAAAATTAATTTTCACTAGCAGGAGGACAGCAAATTGAAACTTGCCTAAGATGACTCAACACTGTTAGATAAGAGCTGTCCCTCAGACTCACAAGAATACACCGAATCAAACATAAAACTTAACCAGTTATTAAAGGAAATAAAGATTTTTAAAAGGTTATAACCACCAATGAGATTCAACTTATGAAAAATAAAAAATAGAGATGCCTATAAATACTAAATGGCAATCATCCATCTCATTATAACATCAGTCACCAGAAAGAGATCTTTAGCAGTACCAATGTTTAAAAATACAACTATTGACAGCCAGGCACAGTGGCTCATGCCTGTAATCCCAGGACTTTGGGAGGCCAGGCAGATCACCTGAGGCTAGGAGCTCGAGACCAGCCTCGCCAACATGGCAAAACCCTGTCTCTACTAAAAATACAAAAGGTAGCCAGATGTGGCACATACTTGTAATGCCAGCTACTCAGGTAGCTGAGACACAAGAATCACTTGAACCTGGAAGGCGGAGTTGCAGTGAGCTGAGATTGCGCCACTGCACTCCGGCCTGGGCGAGAGAGTGAGACTCCAACTCAAAAACAAAACAAAACAAAAAAAGTTTCAAATATAGTTCAGTTGTATGATAAACCATAGTCACAAGCTATATATTACTCTGGAATATAGATAACAGCTATAAGTTATGCAATTATTACCAGTTCACCTGAAGACTTCCTACTCTACCTCTGCTGACAAAGTTATTTCTTACACACATCGCTGGAAAGCATGAATCACCACATTACTTCTTGATTAATCGGAGCATTAAAATATAATGTATTCACCTGTAATAAAGCATATGTAGGTATCCACATAAATTCTGGGTTATTTGCACCATCAGGGCAAGAAGGCGGCAATAAATTCAGTAAAAAATAAATGGCTTTAAGAAGTATCTCATGAAGCTAAACAGTCAATTACCTAGCATAATTTCTGCATTTAAGTGTAAGCTTCCTGCAAAACTAAGAATAAGACATGAAAATGTAAATATTCACTGGTCTAATAAATACTCTCCACTAAATTTTTAGAAAGTATATATCCCATATTTTGTCATGAATAAAGGTATATACCATGAAGGCCATATTTGACATTCTTTCCACACAGTATTTATTGAGCCCCTACCATGCAAAACACACAACAATTATTCAGGAAAATTCTACACTCTTGCCTTCGTGTAGTAAGAGAGGGGGACAGACATACCAATGGCAATGACAAGTCATGGTACGTTAAAACCAACAGGGAGACCTTTAGATAACCAGAGAAGCCCTCCTCTGAGGAGGTGACAGGAAAGATTAAAAGGACTCTACTGTCATAATTAACTAGGAATCCCTAAAAGAAAACAAGTCATAACATTAAAAATAAGCAAAGGAAGGACTATACATACTTTAAGGAGTTTCTGTGGGCTATAGTTTTTCATAGTAATCAAGACATTAAGTTAGCTTAGCATCAATCTCCTGGTTATAAAATAACAACATTAGGTTTAAATCAACTCTCATTTTACAAATTCCAAATGAATCTAGGATCCAAGTGACAAAGAGCCTGAAAAATACTCCAGTGATAGCCTGCTTATTCTTTGGAAGCCCTTCTTTTACACACAAATGTGAATACAAAGGAAAAAGCAAACTTAGCCAAGATGATGTTAAAACATACTCTAATTTTCTTAAAAAAAGAATGCAATCCAAAGAACCAAGTTTATCATCTTCCTAAACACAGAAACCACAAAATTATCAGTGGTTATCAAAGCGGCCTGAAATCACCAATCACAGATGATTAATGAAGTTGTAAAATTTGAAAATAGATACTGATCGCTGTACCAGAAAAAAAAAAACAAACAAAAGAAAACCCACAACTATACTCTCATACACATAAAAAGATTACCCAAGTAAATAAATAGAAGACTTAAATCTTATTTCTACAAATCAACTCCCGCAGTGAATTTGTTCAACATCTACTGAACATCTGATAAGGAACTGGTACAATGCTTCTGTTCTTGCAGAAAACTAAAAAACTGAACTTGTGATGGCCAAATAGACTAAAAATAATCATTAGATGGTTAAAAAAAAAAAAAAATTCACACGAGCTTAGACAAAGCAAATTGAAACTGTTGGCCTTGAAATACTGGCTGAATTACTCATATTAAGTTTACCTACATCATAATGAAAGATACAATATGTTAAATGGAACGCTTAACTAGGACCTGAATAAATTTAATAGTACAGGAAGGTTCTGGAGAAAACAAAATAGAAAGTGTGAGCCAGCCACTACACAGTGAAAAAGCTAAAAAACCAACATACGGACATTCTTAAAAACCAATTCATTTCATTATGAAAGGCTTCTAATACAATTCTGAAAAATAATTTCTAAAAATAGAAATGTTCAGACATAAGCAGGGAGAAAAAATAGTAAATGAAATAATATATCATCTTTTTTTCCAAGTCCTTCAATTCTTGTTTTGCTTCAATGTATGTACATAGCAAACTTTCACCTACAGTATAACTGAAAAAATAGCTTTCCAAATGACAGGCCAATTTTAGTAACTAGTCATATCACTAAGAAATAAAAAGTTTCAACTGAGTGCTTAAAATAGAATTTAAATCAATGAACCATGTTTCTGATTTGAGATTTTTTAAAAATGCTAACTCAATTCAAAATCCCAAAAAGCTGAATTCTCTTTATTAAACTGCAAAAAGATTCCTTTGCACCAAACTTGACAAATCTCTCAAAAAAAAAAAAAATCCATTCAAACAAAAAAAACTACATACCAAGAAAATGTTTTATGGTCATTTTTTTTTTTTACTTGTGATTAAAAAAAATGAATTCATTATTCTGAAAGAAAGCATAATCCTGAAACTAAATTATGCCCCCTTTCTGAAGATATACTAAATAGTCTATGAACGAACACTTAAGTACATAATACTAACTCGCTTACTAGAACCTAACTCGTAAAATCATTACAGAAGATGAATGAATCAGGAGTAACTTAACATAACATCTATGCTCAAATTGGCAACCTGAGCCTAATGATGTGTGTCAGTATTCAACTAAGGATTAAGACAAATGGCTAGCTACCCACGTCAAGTGCAGTCACAGGTACAGACGAAGACAGAAGAAATAGGGTCCTTCCCATGACTGGCAAAAAATCAAGAAATCAGAGAAGCAATAGTCAAATTTTCTCCAAAATATACAGTGGAATTTAATGATAAAAGGAATAAATTTCATAAGAATGTTCAAATTTGCCAAACCCGTTCTGTTGCCTAGGAGCTAGTATTTTATAGCAAGTGTTAACTAGAAATCACCTATTACAACAAATCAAAAATAGACGCTATTAAAATGATTTTCTAAACAGGCACAAAACTTGAGGGAAACGTTTTTTATGCTATTAAAGTCTGTGCAGCCACCGAAAGAACAGAGCGCGGAACCGACCCTCGCGGAGCGATTTACAGGGTTGTTCCGACCCTTCAGCTCCCTCCCCTCTCCAGAGAGCCCTTCCTGGTGGACTTGGACTCACACACTTTTTTAAAAGCTGCTCGGAACGCTTTCAGCAGCTTTGTTATAAACAACCCCCATTGTTACCAGGCCAGGAGAGAGCGTGATTTCCTCCTCCTCTCGGGGAGCCAGCCCGGGGCCGGCGCCTCCCTCCGGGCAGAGGCCAGCGCAGAGGGCCCTTCCTCGCAGCCCCAGAGGTGGAGAAGGCACGCCTTTCCTCGGGGGAGTCCGATTCCGGGCCTGTGCCACCAGGGAACCCGCAGCTCCCGAACTTTGTGATACTGACTTTCCCCTCCCAGCTGGCAGCCTGCAAGTTTGTGAACCCGAAGCACAGCGCGCCTCCCAGGTTCCATCCCGGCCACGGCGAAGGGGCGCCGCGAGCCAGAACCGGGCTGCAGGTGGAGAGCGCCTGCCCCGCGCGCCGCCGCGCCCCCCGCGCCGCTGGGGATCAGGCCGGGGCCGCGCCGCGCTCGCGGCGGTGGGGGCGGCGGCCCAGGTGAGCCACCAGGTGAGCGGCCGGAGAGGGGAACAGGTGACTGCCGCGCCCCGCCAGCCCCCGCGACCCCGGGATCCACCGCGGCAGGCGGACGGGGGCTGCGGGGGACGCCGGGGCCCGAGGTGGGCCTGGCGGAGGGGGAGGGGAGAGGGGGAGGGGGGGGGGGGGGGGGGGGGGCGGGTCCGCGGCTGGCGGGCGGCGGCAGGGGGGGAGGGGCGGGGCGCGGCGGGCGGGGGTCGCGCAGGCCCCGCGCCCCGCGGCGCTCACCTCGGTCGGCTGGCTGATCTCGAACAGGTCCAGCCGGTTGGCGTTCCAGTGGTGGATGATGTCGGCCAGCTTCCGCCGCTCCTCGTCACGGCCGCCCGCCGACATGGTCCCGGCCGCGCCTCCTCAGCCGCGCGGGGCCGGGGCCGGAGGACGGGCCGAGGACGACAGGTCTGCGGGGATCCGACGCCCCTCGCCGCCCCCCGCCGGCTGCCTCCGCCTCCGCGCCCGCGCCGCGTCCTCCGACTCGGCCTCCGCCTGGGGCTCAGTCCGCGCCGCGCCGCGCCGCGCCGCCTCAGCCCCGCCGGCCGGTGTGCGCCCGGCTGCAGCGCCGCGCCGCGCCGCCTCGTAGCCCCGCCGGCCGGCTGGCGCCGCACTCCCGCGCCCCGCCTGCCGCCGTGCGCGCCCCTGCTCGCCGTGCGCGCCGCCGTTTCGGCGCGCCGCCGCCGCACTCCGGGCCGCTCCGCTTGTGCGCAGCTAGGTGCTGCTGCCGTGGCCGCCAGGGAGGGAGGCGCCGGAGGGCGGGCCCCACGCGGTGCTAGGGTTCGGTCTGGACTGGCGGTGGTGGGTCCAGACCGGCGGTGCCGGGTTCTGTCCCGACCAACGGCGCTAGGTTCTGTTCGGAAGCGCGCTGCTGGATCTAAATGGGCGGTGCTGGGTCCGACGGATGGTGCTATGTTCAGTACGGACGCGCGGTGCTGTGTCTGGACGGGCGGTGCTGGATCCAACTGGGCGTTGCTGGATCTGGACTGGCGGTGATGGGTCCGATGGGCGGTGCTACATTGGGTTCGGACGGGCGATGCTGGGTCCGATGGGCGGTGCTGAGTTCGGTCCGGACGGGCGGGGACGGGCGGTGCTGGGTCCAAATGGGTGGTGATGGATCTGGACGGGCGGTGCTGGGTCCGATGGGCCGTACTAGGTTCGGTTCGGATGGGTGGTGCTGGGTCTAAATGGGCGGCGCCGGGTCCGATGGGCGGTGCTGGGTTCGGTCCGGACTGGCGGGTCTGGGTCTGGACGGGCGGTGCTGGGTCCGAACGGGCGGTGGGTCCGATGGACTGTGTTAGATTAGGTTCGGACTGGCAGTGCAGGGTCTAAATGGGCGGCGCTGGGTCCGATGGGCGGTACTGGGTTCGGTCCGGACGGGTGGGTCTGGGTCTGGACGGGCGGGGCTGTATCCAAGTGGGCGGTGCTGGTTCCGGACTGGCGGTGCTAGGTTAGGTCCCGACGGGTGGTGCAGGGTCTAAGTGGGCGGTGCTGGGCACAGCAGGGGACAGGTGGGCGTGGCGGCACAGGTACGGAGCGCAGTGCGGGTGCGGCGCCCTCGGAAGGGCCTTGCGCTCCCGGCGCTCGCTGCTCCTCCAACCTGCGCATTGCCCCGGGGCTGCTGCGTGTTTCTTCCAGGGTGATTCCTTTCTGCTGGGGTCACTTCGAAGCTGACCTTTTCAAGCTGTTTTCTTCCGAGGGGGATACCTTATTAGGCTTTGTGTGCATTTCAAGTGTCATGTTTTCCGGACCGCGCCCCGCTGCTCCCGGGGTGTTCGAGCCCCCACACTGCTGTGCGGTGTTCCTCTCGCTGAGTGAGGTTGGAGGTTCCCACTGCCTTTGTGTGTCTCCTTAGAAAACGCCTCTTCTCTCAGACACATTGTTATCTGCAAATCCTTCGCAGATGTAGAGAACGGACTGCAGAGTTAATAAACGTCGAAGGGAAGCTTTGATGCGCCCCTGTTGGCCCTGCGAGATGCCACGTGAGCGTCATTTTAAATCCTGTACCTGTACGTGGACGTGGAAACCTGAAATTAATTTCAGTAGCAAGCTTTGTGAATTGTAGGGCTTTTTTTTATTAGGTGTCTTTTTTGTAACTGCTCCTCCCCTCCCCCACCCTTTGTTTTGGCTGCGGAACACATCCCAGCAGTCTCCCCATGCAGTGTTCAGTCAGGCGAAGTTGCGTTCTTACATTATCTGTGATGTGTAACAAAAAAGCGTTTATCTTTGAAACACTAAGGCAAGTAATGAGAAGAGTGAACTATATTTGACAAAGCCTTTTTATTTTTGTCATTACTTTTTTTTCCAGTGTGGAAATAATTTTTCTCTCCACCAACTGGATTTCCTCTTTTGCAGACAATTAGAGAATTCTGTCATCCTCACTGGGTTCTGTCTTTTCTACTGCAGTTGTCCAGTACAGCTACATAAGGAGGCTTCTCAGCAGAGGAGCCTGGGGTGTTGAACCAGTGCCATGGGGGAATGAATTATGCAATAGATCGCTAGTCTCCTTTCTTAAAATTAAAGTGTGGTGACGTGCAGAAAAGCATCTGTGTCTAAATGGCATCTTCATGTTGTAGCACTCGGTTTCTTTATGCCTTTCAGTTCCTGTGCTTCTTGATAGACTCGAGTTTTTACTGTGTGAGCATCCCCGTGCCCGCACAGCGAAGGACTCTCACTGGGTTCTACCTGTGCTGCACAGATCCCTGGCACAGCGTTAACTGAACCTCAACTGCAGGAGCTTCATTCCCGAGGATGGTGTTACCAAGAGTGACTTGCCTCCTGAAGAATGAGTTTGCAAAGCTGGCAGTTAGATTGCTGATGTCCAAAGTAAGTATGTGTAGCATCGCTAAAGAGAAAATTCAGGATTCCTGGAAAACAGTTATGGGCTCTCTGCAGTGTTGTTTTTGTAATAAAAAACATGTAGCATATGTGAAATACCTACTGAGTGATGCAGGACACATAGAAGGCTCTACATTAATGTGAATGATTCTCGTTTTTCTGACTGTCATTAAAAGTCCCCGTTTGTATTATGTATGAGTGGTATATCAATATCTAAACTACAGTTCACCGTAGGTCCCAACCAACATTAGTTTATTGACAAATGTTTAAGAGCAACCAGAAATTCGTAGAATACCTATGATTCTTAAATCATGAACACTTCCATAACTGGCATATGTTTAGGACATGAAAATTTCCAGGCTGACAAATTATTTCACTGTCGTTGTTCAAGACTCCAGGATGATATTCTGAGCCGTGTGTCAATTTCAATACCACCTAGAACAATAAAAGGCAGACACGCTACCATCCTCTATTCTCATTGCCCCACTGGATTCTGGTACATCTAAAAATTATACTTAAATGATATCTAAGAAATGCTGTATAAAAATAAAAGAATGGGCTTTTCTGTTATTAATTCCATTTTATACATGGTGAGACTGAAATGCAAGAGAAAGGACCGGACTGAAGCTAAACGAAGCTGCACTGGGCGAGGTTGAAAAAGACCTTTTTAATCTATAAGTCAGTTTTTAAAATTTTAAGTTTTTACTTTATAATTTCAGTTTTTCTTTTAAATGTATATTATTTTTAGTTGCGCTATTCAAAAAGTTTTTACAGCTTCTGTTTCAATCAGCAGTGATATACTAGTATTTCAAAGTTTCTCCCATCTGAAACCAAAATCTGTGTAAAAACTAAAAGCACTAGGTAATAGAGGACAACACAGCAAGACTCTCTTAAAAGAAGAAGTATCACGGCCGGGCGCGGTGGCTCAAGCCTGTAATCCCAGCACTTTGAGAGGTCGAGATGCGCGGATCACGAGGTCAGGAGATCGATCGAGACGATCCTGGCTAACATGGTGAAACCCCGTCTCTACTAAAAAATACAAAAAAAAAACTAGCTGGGCGTGGTGGGGGGCACCTATAGTCCCAGCTACTCGGGAGGCTGAGGCAGGAGAATGGCGTAAACCCGGGAGGCGGAGCTTGTAGTGAGCTGAGATCAGGCCACTGCACTCCAGCCTGGGGGACAGAGCGAGACTCCGTCTCAAAAAAAAAAAAAAAAAAAAAAAGAAGAAGAAGAAGTATCACATAATAGGAATAAATGTGAGGACAGAAAGTAATAATATTTTTGAATTTCTGATTAAACTTTGCACTTACTTTAAAAATTTTTTTGAAATATGAAAACCAGGTTCTGAGACCAGCCACTTCAAATAAACCTTTTCCTGCCCCAATTTTCACAGGCTCTAGAAAATAATAAGTACCAGGAAAAAGATTAATACATTTAAAAAAATATATACAAATATATCAACTATGTTTAACTATATCAACTATATTTAGTACCGTACAGATCATTTAATTTTCTAGCTGCCAATAAATTCCATATTTAATCAAATTTAGAAAAATGTCATTATTATTGTATAAATCATCTTACAAGTCCTTTTAGTAGATATATCAATTTAGAGGATGGTCTTTAGCAAAAAAGTAAAGTAAAAGGATTTAATAAAGGTCCTAATAGCAGACATTCCAGGGCAGGCAGCCTTCTACAGTAGCCCATGCACGTGAAAGTTAATCTAATTAGTTGATCTAGAAAGTTAAATAACCAAACTCTCCTTTGCTTAACCCATCACTAGAAAGGCCAGTGTTGTTAATTTTGTTTTTTAAACAAACAAGCAAAAAAGATAAATTCTAGAGGATTAGTTTTTCATAAGTAGAGTATGTGCTACTTTATTGGAAAATGAAGAAATATATCTTTCAAATATATATCTGCTTCCTTCATTACTTTCCCATGTTCCCAATAAATAGTCACATTTTAGGTTAGAACTTTCAGGAAGTGAGTTCTTACACAGAAATTAGTGCTATAAACAGCTCTTAAAATAGGAATTTAATCTTACTTATTTAAAAAATATATATAATCTTACCAACCTAGAAAGACATTTGTGGTTAAATGTATTCTCTGGCATTTTATAAACTAAGATGATACTGGAAGGAAAAAACTAAATCTAAAATACATAAACAACATATTTACACTGTGATATGGTTTAGATCTCTGTCCCAAAGCCAAATCTCACGTCAGATTGTAATGCCCAATGTTGGAGGTAGGGTCTGGGGGGAGGTGATTGGATTGGATCATGGGGGCAGATTTCCCCCTTTGGTGCTGTTCTGGTGATGGAGTTCTCACTAAATCTTGTTGTTTAAAAGTGTGTGGTACCTCCCTTCCCCCACTTCCTCCTTTTACAGCCAAGTAAGACATGTCGGCTTCCCCTTTGCCTTCTGCCATGATTGTAAGTTTCCTGAGGCCTCCCCAGCCAAGCTTCTTGTACAGCCTGCAGAACCATGAGCCAATTAAACCTCTTTTCTTTATAAATTTACCTAGTCTCAGGTATTTCTTTATAGCAATGCAAAAACGGAATGGACTAATACACACTGAATGCAAAAAAACGAAATGGGGTGTGTGTGTGTGTGTGTGTGTGTGTGTGTGTGTAAGGTATTAGAAGGGGATTGTAAACATGGGTCACTTACCTTTTACTGTGTTGGAGAATTGCTTTGCATTATCTTCTTTTTATTCAGTACGTGTTGCAGACTAAGTTAAAATGTGATCATATATATCCTGAAAATAATGAAAGAATATAAGGCTGTGAATAGATTTGCGAAAGGGTGTCTCCCCTGCCTGCCTCCTTGTCCTCCTTTCCACATTCTGTGCATCCTTAGGCCTGCAAGGTGTCGCTGCATGGTGCTCTGGAAGTGCTCTCACTTCCAGAATTTTTCCATCCAATGCCCCATTACATCAGTTTCGGTTTCCCACTTTGAAAACCGATCAACTAAACAGCACTGGTTCTTTTGTCGCCATCTCCCCGTGTTTTCCCGATCCCTTACACTTGGCACTTTGATTTTAGCGGCTACCTTGAATTTGGTTTTGACTTGAAATTCTGAATGTGCCTTTTTCCTCATGAGTTCTGTTCCCCTTGGCGTTGGGGACCCATCTTACTGATGTCTGATTCCGTGTCCTGCTTCTAGCAGACAGCACAGTTCTGTGTACCTAGCGGATATTTAATAAACGCTCATTGGCTGGATTGAAGATGGCTGTGTACTGGCGGGGCAGGGTAGGGGTGCCCAGCACACAGCTTCTACAGCTAGTCCAATCCCAGCAGCTGAGACTAGACTTTACTCAGGTGAGTGGTCTTTACAAGGGTAGAGAGTCCACAGTCTGGAGGTCGTGGAGGTTTTCCATCCAGCCTTTCACCTTTTTTCTTGATAATAAAAGGTACAGTTCTAAACAATGGGTCCAGAAGAAGAAAGAAGTATGCTTGCCTCATTCCTAAAATAGAGGGCTTGACCTACTGAGCAACTTTAATAGGACTCTAGGATCTCGCTGTCATTAACAGAACAAAGGCCAGAAATATTTAGGAGGCATTATGGAAACCAGGTGCTAAAATGAACTAAATATAATAAACCTAATTCCCTCCCCATTTTCACAGGTTCTATAATATAGAAAGTACTAGGGAAAAGAGGAGGAGCTTTATACATCTAAGAAGAACAAAGGGTACAAATATATCAACTTATTTTTTACATCTTATGCCTTTTTCTGCTAGAAAATTATATGTATAATATAGAATATAAGCTGAATATATAAATTTTGCTAGGAAACTAATATTTTGAAATGCCAACTCCCATTAAATTTTATTTTAACAAATAAAAACAGATACCAAATGAAGGGGAGTGTACTATTAACGTGCTATTTACCAGCAGTAAAAATCATAGAAACAAAGTGTTGAGAAATGTGTTGTTCATGGCAAACCCATAAATGGAATATCCAGGGACTTCTCCCAAGAAAAATCTTTTCTTTATCCACTAGTATCTCTGGAAGTAAAAATTACCAAATTACAGGGTTTTGCTTCCTTTTGAAAATAAAGTGCAGCTTAGACATGTTTTCAAGTGCTTTCGACGTTTGCAGTAGTTCTATGAGAAGGGAGAAACTTGGCCTTAGTACTTCCACTAAGATAGTTTTATAAGCACGTACCCCGAAGCACCCTAACCACACACACACACCTTCTCTAAATATATGCCAACGGCAGATGACAAAGAGGGAAAACATAAAACTGTAGGAGACTTGAAACAGCATGGGCATGACTGAGGATCGGCGTTGGGATAGAGATGCGTGATGGTGAGAAGGAGCTGAAGGAAAAGCCCTGCTGGAGTCGGGAACCCAAAGAAGGCAGATCCTACAAGTAGCAGGGCTCTTGTTGGGCGGTGGGGACTATGGTAGGGACCACAAGTGCTCATGGGAGTAGAGGAAGCTGCTGCCAACTGCAGCTGCCTGCATGACTGACGTGAAGCCATGTGTCTCCGGGAAGAGAAAACGTGTGTGTGGCCTCCTGCTGGGAACTGCCACGCAGCAAGTGACTGCATCTGATGCCTTCCACCATGGCAACACGGCTTGTTCCTAGACGAGGGCTCCACACGGACGAGGTGCCTTTGTTAAGCAGAGGTGTGAGCAGAAAGATACACTGAGAAAGATACAGTAGAGAGAGAATTTCCCACTTACGATGAGCTGGTGAAGAAAAAATTCCCATGCACGTGAACACAGCAAATGCTAAGGGACCACCTGAATCAGCAACCAATCTGAAAAGAGCTTTAAAATAAACATGTTTGGGAAACTTGAAGAAATGTATGCGGGAATAACATGCATCAAAAGGGGTAAGAAGTTATGAAAAACAACTGGCAGAAATACCCTAACTGAATTAACACAGAAACAGAAAACCAAATACCATATATTCTCGTAAGTGGGAGCTACACACTGTGGACACAGGGACATAGGGATGGAAACGGTGGACAGTGGGGCCCATGGGAGGGAGAAAGGGGCAAGGAGAGAACTGCCTACTGGGAACTGTGTTCACTCTTTGGGTGATGGGTTTGATCAAGGCCCAAACCTCAGCATCACACAATAAATCCACGTAGCAAACCTGCATATATAACCCTGACTCTAAAACATAAAAGGGGGTCCAGGCATGGTGGCTCAAGCCTGTAATCCTAGCACTTTAGA